CCTTAATGTTAGCTTTGCCAATGATTTTTTGTATAGGACACCAAAAGCTCAGGTAACAAAAGCAAAAAATAAACAAGTGGACTATTTCAAATTAAAAAGCATTTGCACAGCAAAGGAAGCAATCGAAACAATGAAAAGGCAACATATAGAACAGAAGAAAATGGTTGCAAACCATGTATCTGATAAGTGGTTAATATCCAAAATATACACGGAGCTCATGCAACTAAAGAGAAAAAATAAAAATTTTAAAATGATTAAAAAAAAATATGCTAAGGCCCTGAAGAGACATTTCTCCATGGAAGATATCAATGGCTGACTGGTTTATGAAAAGATGCCCAACATCACTAATCATCAGGGAAATACAAATCAAAATCACAGTGAGATATCACCTCATATTTGTTAGAATCACTATTATCAAAAGATAGGCAAAAATTATTGATGAGGGTGTGGAGTAAATGGAAACCTTGCCACCACTGTTGGGAATATAAATTGGTGCAGTCATTATAAAAAAGCAGTATGGGGTTCCTCAAAAATTTAAAAATGGAACTACCAAATAATTCAGCAAACCCTCTTCTGTGTATATACTGCCCCCAAATAAAATCAGCACCTCAAATAGATGTATGTACCCCTATGTTCATTGCAGCATTATTAACAAAAGTCAAAATACGGAAACAACCTAAATGCATGACTGTGATGAATGGGTAAGGAAATTGTAATATAGACATACAAATTAATCTTAAAAAAAAAAAGTAGATCCTGCCTTTTGTTACAACAAGAATGAACCTAAAGGACATTATGCTAAGTGAAAAAAGTTAGGCACTAAAAGAAAAATACTTCCTGATCTCACTTAGATGTGGAGTCTATAAAAAGTTGAACTCATAGTAACAGAATAGAATGATTACTGGTGGGTGAGAGGTGGGGGAAATAGGCAGGTGTATGTCAAAGAGTACAAAGTTCCAATTATTAGGGATGAAATAAGTCTAGAGTTCTAATGTGTAGCATGATGACTATAGTTAACAATGAATTTTATACTGTAAATATGACTAAAGTGTAGATTCTAGGTGTTCTGTTTCTTAACAATCACTGAGAAAACACTGATGTGATTTATGTGCTTCTTTTGCCCTTTGCAGAATGTGGTCTATGTGGAATCATACAAGATGTAGTCTTTTGAGTTTGGTTTCTATATCTTACTGTAATGTTTTGAGATTCAACCATACTGCTTTTATCAGTAGTGGTTTTTTGTTTTGTTTTTTGGTTTTCAGTGTAGTAGTTCATTCTATGGATTTACCACCATTTAATGGACATTGGGGTTGTTTCCCACTTAGATCAATTATGAAAAAAACTCCTCTCTTTTTTTTACTTGTATTTTAAAAATTTTATTGTGTTTATTTATTTTTAGTTTTTCCAGTATTGAGGCATGTTTGACAAATAATAATTTTATGGACTTAGAGTGGGCATGTGATGTTTTGATTTATGTGTACATTGCAAAATGATTACCACACTCAAGCTAATTAACAGATCCATCACCTTACATACTTTCCTTTTTTATATTGATGGCGGTGGTGATAAGAACACTTGAGTTCTGTTCTTAGCAAATTTCAAGTGTACAATACACTGCTATTAAATACAGTTGCTTTGTCTCCAGTACCTGTTCACGTTATAGCTAAAGGTTTATATTCTTTGTCCCATACTG